TATCTATAAATCTTGCTGCGACGACACTTCCACCGAATCGTGTAGAAATTGAAGAATGCATGAAACCTCGTACCAATGGTTTAATGCCGAAAATTTCATCACCCATATGCCAGAGACAAAGTCCTGCATCTAATACGTTGGACGTGGGAGGCCGACGTTCGGGTTCATATGAAGAATGGATTAACTGCTTGGAAGACTCATCATGTTATATGCCGCGCAACGACGTTGCCCAGCCATCTAAAGTGTTGCGTGGGCGTTGCTCCTCCTTGGACTTCTCGGCTTATTAAAATCATCTTTAAGCCAAGCGCACAGTCGGGATAACAGCTTCTCGGGCATACCTTCCACCTATCGGAAGTTATAGGCGGAAATATGACGAAATTGTTGTCCGTTACTTTTACGAAGTTGTTATAGACACACGCCGATCACAATCAATTTGCTCAAAGTCGATCGAATGATGTTGATGCCAAATTTGATCTTTGTTCTTCATTTTTGCTATTGTGGCGATTCCACGATGACTATGGGCCATATTGATCCATTTTGACATAGTTACATATGGTTTGTCAATACCTCTTAAAATAAGTTAGGCAAAGAAGAGCCAAGAAAAACATTTTCCTACGTGGCGTTAAAATATTTCTTTTATCTAACCTATTATTTGTAGTTTGGTATGTAGACTTTGGACTATTAATAAATATTTTTTTGCTTTTTTATATAAGTTTTAAAAAATCGCCTTAATTTCATTCATCATTCATCGAAAGTGCAAGATATTGACTGTTGAACACTGCTACGCGTACATAACTTCAATTGACTTCTACATTGCTTTCAATTAGCTACAGTTCTTAAATTTTAACAAAAATTTGCTTGAGGAAATATTAGGTGGAAGGGAGTCTGCACCAATGACTTTCATTTTCAAAATGGCTAACGTACGTTTGAAAGTTGGATGTGACTTTACGAAATCCTCCTAAGGGGATTTATTTTTTTTTTGAAGAGCCCTTGAAGGCCATAAATTTAGACTGATTAATTGAAACGACCCGCCTGGTACTCGGAAGCGGTTAGTTAAATGTTTCCTTCGTTCCGTTGCTTTTAAGATATTTGTGAAAAGCAGAAAAATTGCTAAATGTACGACATTAATAGATGCGAGGAAGATTCTTTTATTACGAAACAATTTAAAAAACTTTTATGATATCGGATGCATGCACTCAGACGTAGGTAGTTAGTGTGCACTCGGCTGAGGGTAATTTCAATGAATTTTTTTCCTTAACATATGAATAAATGAAACATAGAACAAATGCTCTCGATTAGCGTAAATAGTTCGTCAAGTTTTACCCATCGATCGGTAAATTCGCTTGGTTGATCGATAATGTCAGGATCACTTGTTCTCGTCAAGCAGCAACGCTTGTCTAACATAGAAAATTTTCTTTTGAGATAAATTTACAACCCATAGATTAATTTCTGCCGAGAATATTACGCATTTTTATTATTATACTCATCCAGGAAGAATGAAGGATGTACTCATTTTATCAAAAAGCTTGCAACGCCCAGAAAGTATACACACAAAATATATATATATTCTTGATGAACATCAAATTATGAATCGATGTAACCGCCCATCTAATGTCTTTTGTAAACATGCTTCTGATGGCAAACATGAAGCTATCGACCTCAAATTTTGCAGAAACATGGCAAGCTGTCGCACGCAGGTTGACATTGAAAATGGGCAAAATCGATCGAAGGACGCACTCACAGCGCCAATTAAACTGCGAACACCTCTGTTTTTCAAAAGGAATAAAAATTGATATTTTTGTTCATTACTGATAAACAAGGGAAGATAAATCTGTAAAAATGTCACCATGTGTAGTCTGGGTGATGTTGGCGACCTGTGCAAAGGTGCGACAAATCAGCTATGCCAACTCAACTTAATAGTGTGTCATAATTTAATTTTTTTTTTTCAAAACGTTGGTAACGCGTAGCAGAAGGCTCCAAAAATCGCATGAAGAATGCAAATTGTTGGCCGGTTACAAATTCTAGACGCACGTGTCCGTTTGTCCGTCGACCCAACTGTCTAGTACCTGTGGCAAACATTCATTTTGTCAAACATGAATTTCTCTCGCAGGGAACGCAATGGGGTTAGATTGTGACATTGGAATGAATGTTGAGAGAAGCGTTGTCCTCGGCTATTATCACCAGAATGAATGAATGGCTGCATTAGGCGAAGTGTTTCTTATATAAGTCAAAATCAAAAAAATCTGTAGCCTGTCGGTATATAGTATTCTAGGTTAACATTTACCCTTTTTCGATAAATCGATGAACTGAAGCTAGATGATTGAGAGGCATAACTTGGTATGATTTCTTATGCTATAAGATCGCAATCTGAATAATGTCCAAAGATTGGGCGGCTAAGAATATTAAATTGATTACTTTGAGATAAATGAAGTGAGAAACTAATATAACTTGTAGTTAATGTTTAAAGCTTTATGTGGCGGCTGCGTGTGTTAAAGAAAAAAAAGCGAATTTTCAAACTTAATTTAAAAAAAAAAAAAAAAAAAAAACAAGAAGCTTAACAGTATCAATAAACATGCATAGTTAGCGCAATTAGCGGCAAAAGGAATGCAATTGTTTTTCCAAATAAATATCTTTCCTGAAATCGTTAAAACGGAAGCAAACGATAGCTTATTGAAAAATAACAAGTGTAAGCTCTTGTAATAAATTATCGGGCATAGGCTTAACAATTTTATCAAATCTTTGATGTGTACTTTTAATGAATGAACAAATGACTCTCTGATGGGAAAAATGAAAGTAGACGAAAGGGCAAGAAGAGAAAGGCAAATGGACGAACGTGTAGACAAATAGAAATCATCGCAAGACATAGAGGCGAACAAATAGCTAGAGAAGCGATTTAAACTCGAAAAAATATGCATTTATTCGAGTCGATCGAGATGTTTTACGATTTCTATTCCCCTCTTCTTCATATCAATCGATAAATTATCAGCAATGCTTACAACTATTAGTAAATTATTTAGAAGAAGTTCAACTCGCTACCATATCTTTCGAAAAGCATAATAAATTATTTTTGTACTCATCATAGGGAACCATAGGAGCATATTTCTTTTGTCAAAATGTCTGCAATACTCAGAAGAAAGCATTTCTGGGGACCGTATATAGTATCCACATTCTGGATTGATTTGAGAGCGTGCTTTTTTCTGCGTAGTTGTTTTGGCAGAGCGTATGGTAAATGGGTCAGTTCGAGTAAACCGTATGTTTACAATACAATATCAACGGAGAACATATTCCCAGACGAAACTATAAAAATTTTCATGTATATATCGTGATAAGTGATGGTACAGTGCAAGACACACGATTTCACATGATTACCGGGCCGGCTACATCATATCAATCGCCACACTGTTCTCTATGAATCACTAAAATTGTCACAGCGGTACATCAATAGCAACTTAGGGAACACCTAAGCACCTTCTACCTATATGCTTGATCAGGGTAAAATTTGAAATCGATTTAGCCATGACTGTTCGTTAGTGTGTATGTTTACGCTCTGCCGGTTGCATGGCCCAGTAGTAAAGGAAAAACTGAAAGCAACAAGGGTATATGCGGATATATGCAACACCCAGACACACTTTAGATAGATTTATGTTTTATTATATCGATCGATTCAGAGTCATTGTCTGATTCGAATTAAGGTTATCTATCCGTCCGTCTGTCCCATTCTCATGTGTTTAAGACGCAATTTTTGATGAAATTTGATACACTGATGGTGTTTCGAGTCAAGCGCGAATGTCACTGAAAATAATTTTGATCGGATCACTCGGATCACTTTTTCGAAATTTGTCCATATAACGTTATATGAATAAGTGTGTAGGGTGTGTAATGGTGTTTAAACTAGTTTTGTCTTTTTTTTAATTAATAGGAATTTGAAAATAAACTTTAAAAACTTTGAATTTTCTTTAACTTATATGACACAATATATCATTTGTTTTACTAATAACTGTACTTTGCATAAAATATATCCACTAACCAATCCAAAATATTTTGCCTTAAAAAAATCCCACAAGCGTTCAACTAATTTGTTAACTTGTTTTTTAAGTTTTTACAATGTATATATATATATATATATATATATAACATTGTATATATATATATATATATATATAACATTGTATATAACAAAAAGTTTTATAATAAGTGAGCTTTTAGTTTTTGTCGTGTGTTCGCTTATATCTTTCGACCAAGGAGCGTTATATTCAGTAGATCGCCAAGTTCGCGAAATCAGTTAACGCAAAGTTTTAAACCTAAACGGTCTTTAAATAAAACGTTTACAAATTTTTCTTTATTTTTTTATCTATTTAATTATTTGTTTTTTTTATTTTTTTTACATAAAACGATTAAATATCAAGCAAGCAACAACAATTTTGTATGCCTTGTAATTAATTGCATTTTCCAGCATTTATTTCTTGTGCATATAAATATTGTTTGTTTTGTTGTTGTTCGTTATTTTTCGTTTTTTTCCTTTTTCTTTTTTAACAAAAACCAGTAAACCATGTAACATATTTCTTGAATTCATTAATATTCGAAATCTCTCTTCTTACCCCGCTCTTTCATAAGAAGTTCAACGCATTCATATATAAGTATCAGCAAAACAATTCCAACTCTCAGCAGTAATAATAGTAATAATAAGTGAGAGAGAAAAAAAGAAAAAATAATATAAATAAATAAAAAAAAAATTCATCTTCATAATGAGAAATTTCATTTTAAACGAAAAAACGAAAAGCAAAAACAAAAACAAGAAAAAGAAGAGCAACAATAACAGCAGTCTAAGCATTTACATTATTTTAATTGTATTTTTATTAATGTTTGATTTTATTGTTGCCGCTACGACGCCCATGCTGTTATATAAACGCAAACCAGATGATAAATATGAAAGAGGTGAGTAGCAAGTTGTAGATCCTACGCATGTACACAATGCATACGTTTACTATGTATGCGCATTTATGTCAGTGACAAATAATTTATCACAGTAATATTATATTTATTACTCAATAATTAATCATTATTTAACAATTAATTATAGAAATTCAAAAAAAAAGTGAATACAACAACAACAATTATAAAAGAAAATATAAAATTTTATTGAGTTTAAAACGAATTTTCCCATAAGCATCATTTGGCCGCCTTTGCTTTTCGAAACTGAAGAAAAACTTTTCCCTTTCAAATATCTATATATGTATATATATACATACATATGACCAATTATTCAGCTGATGTCCTCTGTTCGTGTACCACGGTAACGGCCAGAAAGACGAAGAAGAAGTGAAGAAAAAGAATGATCGGCGGCTTATGCCTTTCGCGGCTAAACACTGACTATATCTGCGATCCAAGTAAACTCAATCGCAGTGACTTATTAATTGCTGTCCTTACCTGATCGGCTACTCCTGCGGAAATATATAATGTAATCTTTCGAATGCAACGTATTCTCTAAGAGTAAGTGTCAGTGTATAAGTCAGCTGCAATGCAAATATGAATAAGTTATTGTCTGAATTTGTATCCGCATATACGGATGTTGGTAACCGTCAGGCTTCTAGTTTTAGATTGTTGCCAATCATAACTGCATTCATTGGATTTTTTTACCCACCACCGAAAGAGGTAATTATACTATGTTGATCTAACCTTCTCTTTATTGCATTAACGAAAATGCAAAACAGAAACTATGAAATGTGTATATTTCTCATCATCTTATTAACCAACTGTCTGTTCTCTGTGATTGGCATTGTCGCAAACCTAGACATTAGAATGGCAAGAGTAGAATGTAATCTGCTCCAACTTATCAATTTAACCAATCTAGAAGAGAGAATGATTTAAAGCTTTTAGTGGCATAGCCATCTTAAATTCAGTTCAGAGCAATTCCTAATCGATAGATGAATATTTCTTAGCTTACATAACATTAAAAATTAATCTCGATCGACTTAGTGACGCTCTTAACGTTAATAATTTATATTCTTTGCGTTCAGGCGGTGTGAATAGAAGTTTGGGTGGAAGGCCTACAAAAAATCCTGTCTTATCTATTGAACTAGGTTTTAGAGTGAGGCAAGGAATATAATGTTAAACTCGGCAGAGAGGCAAACAGGCGAACGTAATTTATTCGATTGATCTATTCACGCGGATTTTAATTGACTAAGAATAAAAAGCAAATAGTTGAGGTTAAACTCTTATGTTTGGAGATTCGTATTAAGGCGAAGAGAGTTTAATTGAATATGATAATTACGTCAAACTTAACCGTTCAAGACAATATTTTATGTTCATGGATTGCTATCATGATTTCACACTATGGACACTATGAACGTAACTATATCGATTTTTATTATTCAAACGGAATTGAATTTGATAGACGTAGTTGCAAGAAATTTCAGATGCAGATATGCGAATCTAACGACAAGAAAAACCATGATTTAAAATCAAACTCGATGTACTAGAGATGAGTTTCATATTGCGGTTGAGACTTCCGCAAGCAGACTACAAGGAATGAAAAAAAAGCTTTAAATTGCGCAAAATTTGAACTATAAAAAACGAAAGGAAGTATTTAACAGAAAGTTTGGTCAGCGTGCATGCAACTTTAAAGGTGGTACAATGAACCCCAGTAAATCGATAACATTTTAGCCTAAGGCCCTATGATAAAACGCTCGTTCTCGTTGGTATTTTGTAGCACTTTCTTTGATAAGGTGCTTATGAGCGGATGCTCCACGTGTACCGTTTTCGGTACATGCTAACAAATTTAACAATTTTAATTAAATACTATTTTATGAGAATATAGGAGGGAATATTTTCATTTTTCATCGCATTAACTAATGAAAAGGGAAAGGCAAGGAAGAACTCATAAAAGGGGGTTTTTCAGCCATTATAATGAAGATAATTGGCAAATAGGAGCGTAATTATTTTCATTTAAATTTATCTTAGATGTTTGATGTTAGGGTGTCTAGAATTCTTCATATTGCAATAACACTTTTTTATATAATTTCTTTTTTATTTACATACAGAATTAGTGGCTGTCTCTTCAACGGTTATACCGCTGAAAGTGTCGGAAGTTGGTTATGGTTTTGCCGGCACACCGAGTGATGGGTACAAACAACTCTATTTAAAAAAATTACGCAAAAAAGTCCAACATAATTATAATGAAACCGACAGTGAATTTACAAAACCGGACACATTAATTACAAGTAAGTATTTATGCAGGCTAGGAAAAGCATTTAAAAGAATTGTAGAAGTATTTATCAAAAACTTACCTCTCATATGATGTAATCTTAATTAAATATATCTGAAAACAGAAAATAGTAAGTACATCTTTAGTAATATTTCAAAAAAAAAAAAAAAGAGAAAAAAGAATGTATTATGAAAAGCAGCTGTTAAGAAATTTAAATATGCCTCAGGCATTTGATCATAACTAGGCTAACTTAGGCTAATCCATTAGTTATGGAATGTTCGGTACTTTGGGAAACTTGAGCATATCGTATGGATCAGTCGAGAAAAGATCTCTTTTGCGTTCATTTTCAAACTAAAATTTTGTAAGAGTTAGAAGCAGTTATACTTCTTTGCCTATTATAGGCGAACGCACGGCAACGAACAGCAAGGACGAAAAACTTCAATTGAACTGAGATAATTGAATTAAATTAAATTTTAACAATAATGGTCTTCATTAACGTTTATCCATATGATTTTTCTTTAGCAATGCATGCGAGGTATGTGGGCCAACGATATTGATGCAATCATTGTGTTCAGTATTTAAAATCCTGATTTGTTTGACATTTGTATTGAGCCGCTAAAGCAAGAACCACAAAGATCTGATTATTCTTTGGTTCTTTTCGATGCTTTCGTTTCCTTCTCCAAACTTCCTGGCGAACGAAGTGCTAGTGATTAAAAACCGGTGAATATTATCTGCGTAATTTTATTATGGAATTCACGCTAAATACTATCAAAAGTGTTAGTATATTTAAGTTTTCATATCCTTTGTTGCATTTAAAATATGCTAAATGAAACTAAGGGAGAAAAATTTGTAAAATTTAAGTTTATCCATCAACATGATCTCCACTCTTGTATTGATACAATCAGCTGAATGTTTCTCTAATGCTTTAATGGTGTTATATGGAACAAATTTTCGCGATCCTGAACTGATATGGTCTCATCTTGAATATAGGATGAATGCGGTAGAAAGGCGAGCTTCAATTAGTACCGTTTTGCCATTGTTGACATCGATTAGCGACATCGGGCATTCGTTCTAATGTGAGTCAGCTAACTCTTGTAATTTCACTTTTAAATTATCGAGAATAATTTTCAAGATTCTTTTGCAGTTCTCAAAAAAAAAAAAAAAAAAAAATCACTAAACCATTAACATCGAAATTTTTTTGTTTTCGTTGCTGAAAACTTATCATCACATTTTACAAGCCCATGTTTTGTTGGAACGAAAAGTTTTCTGCATCAAAAATCGATGTTTAATCAATAGTCGAAATTCAGATTCTTGCATTGTTTTGAATATAACGAAAGTAGTGTCCATAAAATTAGTATAGTTCGTGCACAAGCGTTGGAAATGCTATCAAAAACTCGTCCTTTGACGGGAGAGAACTTTGAAAAATAGAAGGGATTTTTCATAAAAACGACAGCTATGCGTTAGTCTTTCGAATTTTAAACGGGTGTGTTCTACACAAAGAAAAGTAATCGATTTGAAAACATAAACGAATGCCAAATGGCTAGACGCACGATAGAAAACGAAATCGTCGAAAGCAGAATATAATTGAAAAAGTATTAAACTAAAATGAACGTTTAGTGAGAAATAGGGCACATGTGTTAATAAAGTGTGTCTTACGATCTTATCGCACCAGGGATTGAAGCTGCAGCATGCTGGTGTGTGCTTTAGCTCCTAGACAGCCAATCATTCTACAGTAAGTTCCTTTCAAGCTTTGTAAGTGAAGAAGGCAGAAGAGATATTTGCGAATATGAAAAAATGACTAAGACTAGTACGCGCTTTTTGAAAAAATCCATCCATTTCATTAAAAATAATATACAATTCAACTAGGTTTTGAACCCGTGCCCTTAATAATGCATTATTGCTATCATCGCTAAGGCACATACCTTATGTTCTTACGGCGAATATTTTTTTGGGTAATTAATTAAACAAAAACAGTTCAACAGTTCAATCTCAGGACCTAATTTAATGCAATAATATAAAAATTTCAAAAATTATCATCTGATTGACAAGCTTAGACGGTTGTAGCTGTGTTCGTGGGTGTGTGTGTGTGTGTGTGTGTGTGAAAGATATTTAATTTCGTTGAAGGCAAACACGAAACTAAATCAAATCGATCATGACAAAATATTTCGTTTTTCGTCGTTGAGAAGAGAAAGTGAAACCAGCAAGGTGAATAATGCGAGACCATCCATGGATGAAAATCAAACTCGCAAAAGTTAAACATAAAAATGTACATTCGTCGAGTAAATATAGAACTGACATGTTGGGAAAATTTATATGAAAAAATTCATTCAAGTAAATGATTTTTTTTTTTTGTACAATCTCCTGGAGGATTCACATAAATTATATAAGTAAGATAAATACGTGAAAAAAGATAAACATAACATGCTGAAAGAAAAATTATTATTATTATTATTATTATTGCTTTTTTTTTCGAAAGTCGTTCATTCAAGAGCGATACAGTCAGTTGAATGCTTCTTAAATATTCCAATTCAATCTGTGCGTCAGTTTTCGTGGTAATCTCATCATTTGATCCAGACTTTCTTCCCTGTAACATTATTTTAAGAATTCGGAATACATTTTGAGAATGCAGCAGGGTGTGGCAGCAATTTAAAATCACATTCATACAATTTCGCTTTTGTGATATATGTGTAATACCTTCGCCGTGTATAAACATGGTATGCCACACATGTATGACAGCAGCTTTCTCATGCCGAAATACGAAGAGCTTGTGCTATCTTTGAGTGTGAGCTAACAAGCTTCTTACAAATTCATTTTACGATTACGGAGAATCGTTTTTCAAGTTTTTCGGGTTTTGCACCCGTTTAGCTTAGAGTAGTTGGCAAACTATCGACAAATGGTTGTTTTCGTTAGCGGAGAGCGGCCATAGAGAGTTGTGAATTAGCTCACCTTAAACTCTCTCAATCAGCTTGAATTTCTGATTCGACTTTATTATTGCACTTTGACTCGTGTACTGCACAAAAATTGACAATTTGAAGAAGTTAAAAAAAAAAAAAAACGTTTCTGTCTCAGCTGGTTAGGCTAATGCCATTTTAAAAACGTAATAAGCATAGCACTTAAGAGGAGGTCATCAGCTTTTAAAAAGTTTTTTTTTTTTAGTTTTACAATAACGAGACATAGGGTAGGTAATATATTTAACATAGCTAATCGTTGTGTACCCACGCAAACGTGAAACAAGCCAAACAACTTTAAGACTAAATAATAATATAGAAAAGAATGCTTTTCAAAACTTTCAAGTGTATGTATGCATATGCTTTCAATAATCAATGAATTATTTTTGAGAATAAAAAAAAAAAAAATTGTTGAACATTGTTTTTGTTCTTTCTTTCAGTTAACAGAAAATATGATGCTAATGATGACAGCAACAACTACGATAAGGTCAAAGTCAAGGATATTAATATCGCTGCAGAAAACTAAGCAAAATGACATTTACGAAAAGGGAGAGCGAAAGATAAGAAATATGTAATGGCAGAGCATATATAACATATCAAAACTTTTTCAATAAGATTCATTTAAGCGTTTCGAAGAGAAATAAAATCTTTTCAAAAACAAAAATCCAGATCAGTTTAAATATGAAAGAATATCGAACTAAAACAATTGAAAAACATGACGAAAAAATTGATTACGATATTTGTTGTTATTTCATATATATATATATATATTTTTTTTTTTATTTATTTATTATTTTTTTATTTTTTACACTATTGCTTGCTTATGTGCATGGAAGCGAATGTAAATGATGACGATGATGCCATGCTTGATGATGCGGTTTCTCATTGTGTGATACCATAATGGTAAACAATAACAACTGCCACCAACAATTGGTATTCATCAGCAGATGACGTCAATATTTTTATTATTTTTGAACATTTTATTGATTTTGCCTTTAACTTAAAAAAAAAAAAATACATTTTTTTTTTATTAAATAAAAGAGATATCGTATTGAATATAGAATTCAATTGCAACGCCCAGAAACGGCTAGACTTCTGCACAGCTGTACAGAGTTTAAGGCAATACACATGCAACGGCCAATCAATGCTTTCGCTCCAATTTGCTGGAATAATACTCTGAACGTGGCTGACCATTCGCAACGATAAGCTTTCGCGACAGTCTTATAAGAACTGGGAAAGTCACTTCAATGCAGTCAAATAGGCGATATCTCCATCAAATACATGTATATATATATATATATATATATATATATTATATACATAAATATATGTCGTAGGTAACGATTCTGTTTTATGAAGAATTTTCATATTAAGCTTCTAGTGAAAGTAGTTTTGTGGAAAATCATTAGGAAATTGGCGTAAAAAAGAGGCGGCTAAGGTGTGATGTTAATGAATGAATATTTTTCAAGTTCTATGTCAATTATATTTGTAACGATTGCTTGATGTATAACGATCAAGGGATGGTGCATCGGCACACACTTTTGAATTTAACGTTGCTGCAATGGGCGAGGAATGGAAAGTCGTGCATTTGCAAAACCAAATGCTATCGGCTATGATAAGTTTGTAAAATTGGTTCTCTCAGGTGTCCTTCTACTATTTACTCTCTCATTACATTTCATGGCAGTTGGAGGATAAATACGTTAGTTTCTTCGGAAGGTTTTTATCTCCACCAGCATTCTTTCCGTCTTTCGAAAGCCTTCGAATGCTTGTGAGCTGCTTGAGTTTGTCTACACTTGAACACCAAGCACTTACCCTCTATTAATCATAAGTCCCGCTGATTATAAGCCCGCTTACAATTGTTAAACGGTGATCCTTAAAATTCTTGATAATATGCGCCTCGTGTTCTGCAGGAAACCAAACTCGAAAATTCGATCCAAGTAAAGAGGTAGCGATAGATATAGCGTTATACACTTTCTGGTGAACTCTGTTTTTTTCCTTTTATCCAACTAACCACTCAACTTCATATAACTGCTGATCTTTTTTTAATCTACCTGCATATAGTTTAGTTTAAAGAGTTCAACGTTTCAAAAATATATATATATTTTTTTTTTTATTGAAAATTCAATAATATATGAGCACATGAACAAACATAATGGTAGGTAACGGTGTAATGAAAAATAAAAATATTTTTTAGTTCCCTAACATCTCGTTTCTCTCATTTCTCGGTATGTAACGTTTGGCGATGACTTTACATTACAACATTTGCAAATGAGAAATCTGCCGTGGACATCATTGCCCATATGTTATGTGAAGAGGGACTTAATAATGGTTTCAATGATTGACATGTCTAAGGTTTTTAATATAGGGGGGTGATCACAGTTTACTATTGGGAAAGTTAAAGTTTAAAAAATAAAAAATAAAAATCGTAACGTTATACTGGAGCTTATTCTATTTAGTACTTTCATTACCGATTTAGTATCATGTTGCCACAATTGTAACATTCGTTGAATCGACAACGCAGCTTCGACGCTCTATCCATCTCAATATCAGATATTCTCAAACAATATTCTTAAGGCGAAATTGCGGTAGCTGGCGATTTCAATGTTCATAACAAAAACTGGCTACGCCATTTCATCCATTCCAGATGCGGTGCAGAGATTTATGCCAAAAATGAGAAAACGATGTGCGAAATGAGTAGATCAGAATGTTTTAATCGATTGTTCGACAATATTGCACATCGACAAAGGCAAATTTATGAATCGATTTATAAGTCACTTCACACTTGAGACGAAGGAATAATCAAAATAACAAAAAATTCTTCGATTCCATCTGTTCGCGACGCTATGGCGTCAGCTTGTATTGCTCACTTATAACGTAACATCCTATTCATTAGAACAAAGCCCTTTGATGAAAAACTTGGTCAGCGACAAAAAAAGTATGCGAAGAGCGATGACGTAGAGTTTGTGTGATCGATGGTTACTTTAAGCAACTACATGTCTCACGCACTCTAAGCATTATGTTGAAACTATTGAACGGTACTGGCAAGACCGTAACAAGCTACGAGAGGACTATTTTGGGAAATAAAGATATTTTTTCCCAAGTTTCAAGTTGTATTGTGTTTCTCAAGTCGAGCACTGAAGTCTAAAGTTTGCTCTTGTACCCTCAGTACTGTTAAGTAGAAACTTTATGCAAACTTAACTTGATTTGCCTTGAAATCGCACTACAGGTTATACTCCATTAAGCATCTTACTGCTGAACGAAAGTAAGATGCCATATTAGTTATCAAATGAAATAATATTTTAAACTTAAATTTTATATAGCTGTTGCTTGCGCGCATATAAGTTTTCATAACTCGTTTCTCTCAAAAGTTATTGCTAACGTTTATTAATGAATAACGACTACCTGCATAGACATCTAAGCAAATATGTATAAAAAGATATCGCATAACCTTCGAAAATTGACTGAAGCGAATGCAATGTCGAAACGAAATGAAAACTCGTGGAATAAGAAAAAAGAAAAATTCTTCAAATTAATAAAAGGAGTGTCTAGGGTTCTCGTTACTTTAAGAAATGACGAAAGACCATCAAACAAAATGCCCGACAAATCTTAGGAATTTCATTAAAAACAAGTAAGAAAATTATATTTGGTAGTGACCGAATCTTTTATGCCCATCACCGTTATCCTAAAAAAGACAAAAACCCGAAAAGAATTATATTTGCATTGTCGATAATATGAAGTGGGCGCAGTTGATTTGTTCTATTCCCAAAATAAAAGTTTTTATCGCTTGGGTGATGTGGGTGTTTTGGGCGTGTCCTATGAACTAATTTTTAATTCTCTCCCAAATTCGTTTGAAAATATGTAGGCGATGTTTTCATTTTCACTAGGGGGAGAATGCTTACCACAAATGTGGATGGACAGACGAAAACGCGGAGATGTTCAGGTGTACTCCAAATTTGAAACTGCCCAAGAATTAATATACTTAATGGGGTTTTTAAAGCCTGTTTCTGCGTCTTATGAACGTAATGGAAAAAATTATTAAATTTTGATACACTATAATATTAGGTAGGTGTGGCCAATGCTTTCCATTCTTGTAAAGATGCTACAGCATCGCACATAGAATATTAATGTACATTTATCTGCAATAGTTTATGAGCAATGAGCTAAAGACCATCTTTGCATTCCGTTTGAACAATAGAGGTATTCTCAGTTTACGTGGCGGTGCGGATGTGTCCTTCGACCGCGTTAGCCTTTTTTCAATACAAAGGTGCGTGCAAGAATTTCCAGTGTTTGGATTGCCAAATTTGAAGTCGATATCTTTATTTTTGCGGTCAGGAGAATGATTAAAACAGGCAATATACATAGGGACAAATGAACATACGGACAGACGGACATGTTTAGAGCGATTTAAAATGTTGTGCTGATCAAGAACATATGCATTTTGCGGTGTTTTCTAAAGCTTCCTACTGGGCGTTGCAAACGTTTTGACAAAATTAGTATACCCCTCATCCTGTGTTCGTGTTTATTAAGTTGTCAGTGTTTGAAGATGAATAGGTAACCGGTTTTTTTACATTAAATTTGTACATCTCAAACAAAATATGTCAAGAAAGGTCTTAAACACTCTCCGTTACAAAAATTTCTTTTATTTTTTTATTACAAAATAAAATTTAATTCGATAGAAATAACAAAGAAATGTGTGGGGGCTTTTATCACCTAGGAAAAGAATGCGATTCTTACAAATTTCGAAGGGAATGCTAGTTAGGTGGCATAAACCAATTACAATTTCTTCCAATAATTCTGGATGTCTCCCCTTCTTGCCTCAACCTATTTCCTTCTATAACGTACGTAGTCAACGTCGGTATGAATTATCGATTCCCTTGCCACAAATCAATAGGCAACAAGTTTTCAGATGCTGTGGTCGATGTAGGTTACGCCAGCCAATCATTGCCTCACAAAACGAAGATCATCAATTTTATAAATCAATTGATTGAGTTAGTTAGGCTTGACATACATATCACGTAACGTATCGTAAATCTCTTTCTTTCCTCGACTAAAGGAAGTAACGGGCAACGTTCTTGGCGACTTGCAAATGTTTCGAATGATTTTCATTTAACGTACACGATAAGAATGAACTCTCTGTAGCAGTTTTCAGTTACGATTTAAGTTTAATTATTATTAAGTTTAGTCGATCGGCTGTAATTTTGATTATCTTTGCATCAATTTTGAAATATATTAGGTACGTATATATGAAATGGGAATTCGTCAATAGATGACTCTAACGTTACAATTTGTACGAATGTTCGATCGGTAATCGATAGGTAATTGTGGCGACTCGAAATCGTTGTTTATGATATGATAATGATGATCAATGATGATCAGAATTTATTGATTACGAGTTTTGCTCAATAATTGGTCAGCATCTCGATCAGCGATCATTTTATAATGTAATATGGAATTACTGCATACTACATATTGGAAAAATTTCATATTTTCAAAATCGACAAGGTCGACGTGAAGATCGAGTTAATA